AATGGGTTTGTTTGTCTTTCAAATGTTTTTAGATGTGTTTATTTTAAGTGTATTTTGCCTACATGTGTGCCTGGTGCCTGGATGTGTACCACATGTGTACCACATGTGTGCCTGGTGTCTGGAGAGATCAGAAGATGACGTTGGATCCCCTGGAACTGGAGTTAACAGATGGTTGTGAACCACCACATGGGTGCTGGGAATTGAATTCGGGTCCCCTGCAAGAGCAGCAAGTGCTCCTAACAGCTGGACCATCTCTCCAGCTCCCATTCCTGAGTCTTATCCTTTGTAGTGAGCCAGTACATAGAGGTAATGTGTCTGTTTGTTTGTTTGTTTTTAGTTCTATGAGTCACATTAGCAAATTATCAGATGCTTCCCTCAAAGAGGGAGTTGTGGATACCACATGTAGATCAGTGGGTGTGGTGTTAGGATTGGCGTATGACATGGGCCAGTCACGCGGAACTGAACTTGTATGATAGGGGTAGATAGTGTTAGAATAGACTGGAGATACTTAGATAGTCCTAAGATACTCAGCTGATGTTGGAGAATTAATTAATTGGCTGTGTTTTGGAGAAGCTCTCCTTCCAGTTTGGTGTGAGGAGTTTTAATAAATAAAGGGAAAGTACTTGTTAAGGTAAAAGTCAAGTTTATGGGCTGGAGGTATGGTTCAGTGGTGCAAGCTTGCTCTGTTATCCCCAGCACTACAGAAAGAAACTTTATATGATGTCAGTGCCTGCTAAATGAGTCATTTAAGAACAGTTAAATAACAAGGTAGTGTGCACTGCTATCATTCTTAGAACTTTCCTTGAGCATCAAGTTTTGGAAAGTTAAAGCAAATGGGCAGAAAATTAACAAGTAAATAAGCCTCTCCTTAGCAGATCACAAGCTGATAGGAAGGGTTTTGTTGAGGGCTGTGTCACTTTGTAAGAGATAGTAATGTCACTAATTGAGATGGACTGCTGACTTTCCCTCCAACCCAAACAAGTGGTCAGCAAGTCACAGACACCTAGATGTAAGGGCAATCAGACGGGTAAGGGTAAGTCATGACCTTGAACCAGGCTGTCCCTCTACTCACTGTAAGCACATGGTCGTATGAGCCTGGAGTAAGCCCTGTGTACATGCTTCAACCTAAGAATGGATGCTGCCCTGACTGCTTCACTCTTTCCTGCTCTTCTGTGTCTGTCTATAAGTGTTGTGTGTCTTCCTCATTTGCTCTTTGCTCTGCTGAGGTAGGGTCTTACTGAACACACAACTTGCTTACTTGCCTAGTCTAGGTTTTGAACTTGCGCCAAGGATCCCATCTCTACCCACTCAGTGAGTGCTAGGGTTACGGGCAGGCTGCCATTTTACCTGGGTGCTATGGATCTGAGCTCTGGCCCTCACATTTGGACTACAGGTTCCTTATCCACTGAATTGTCTCGTCAGCCCCTAAATCTTAATGATCTATTTAGGTAACTTACATAGCAAACATTGAAACATTTATGCACATTATGTTTTTTAGATATGTACAAACTGGCCAGATGGCTAGTCTGTATTTTTTAAGTAGATCCTTACATCTTTAACTTGGGTGTAAAATTTACTGTGAAAGATACTTGAGGTGATCAGTGCCCACCTCTGTGTAGTCCCTGCTCTGGAAGTTCAAGTGGAAGACATCCCAGAATACTCAGTAAAGACAAGGTTTGATACTTGAAAATGTGACAGATGAGGAATAGTCTCACTGGTCTTAAGACCCTACATTGTCTTCTGTTTCTGCTTCCTCTTTATGGTTCAGGTATAAGAGACAAGACTGCACCGTAGTTTAAGTGCCCCTAACTTATGTAGGACGATTCTGCCTTCATAGCTTCCAAATCCTTGGTACAGGAGCACCTGGTACCCCACATGCAGGAAATGCCAGTTTCCCACCAGTCACTTGTTTTTGCTCATCATTCTCTATCCAGGTCCAGCCTGCTTAACAAGATGCTTTTAAATAGCCATAAGCCGTGTTGTTTGTTAAGACCATTTTTGTGGGGTTCAGGGGGAAGGAAGGTGAATGGAGTGTGGCAGCATTAGGTGCAGCTGCATGAGAAAGGGTTTTGTTGACTTTTGTCTTGCTTTCCTTCCTACAGTATTTCAGTTTACGTATGTATTTGCATTTTGGAGAGCTTAATCCTTTATAGTGAATCACTTCAGAGAAGTTGCGGAATAGTTCAGAGAACTTATCATGTACTCTGTGCCCTCCTGGACTAAGCCATGTGTAGTGTGGTATGTGAGACCTTCAGTGTGGCAGCTCTTCACACATAATGATAGCTTGTGGAGCAAGCTTAAGCCCACACATGAAGTTTATTCATGTTTCATATACATCTTATACACAGTCATAAAGCAGTCTGAAGTGTTTTTAATGCACTTGTGTTCTGATGGTAGCCTATTCATGAAGTCATATATAGAATTTCCCACATATTATATGAGTGCTCAAAAAGCATTGATTGGACTTCATTATTTATTTATTTGTTTGTTTATTGGTCTTTCAAGACGGTTTCTCTGTGTAGCCCTGGCTGTCCTGGAACTCACTCTGTAGACCAGGCTGGCCTTGAACTCAGAGATCCACTTTCCTCTGTCTCCTGAGGGCTAGGAATAAAGGTGTGCGCCACCACTGCCTGGTTAAAAGTGCTGGATTTTGTATCATTTTGATTTCCACATAGGGATGGTTCCCCATTAATGATTGCGGTCTGTAACTAAGGACTTACCTTAGTCGGTCCAAATTTGACTTCTTGAGCAATTATTTCTAGTGGTTTAAATTTTGAACTACTAGTCAATAATGACAAAGTCCACTAGACTATATATTATCTACCCTTCACTAATTCATGATTCTTACTTATTATCTATAAAATGTAGGGAATAAAAAGGCTTTACAATGATTTGCCCTTCTTCAGGTGTTTGTTGCAGTCTGGAGGCAAGATCTTCCCCCAGTATGTGCTAATGTTCGGGATGCTCGTGGAGTCTCAGACACTGGTAGAAGAGAGTGCTGTTCAAGGAACAGAGCATACGCTCGGGTTAAACATAGCGCCTTTTATTAACCAGTTTCAGGTAAGTGTCTAGAGAACTGTTCAGCCAAGCTCTTGCTGTCTCCCATCATCTTTGTCTCTTGAGTTTGTACTTAGTCAGTGGGGTAGCTGGATTAGAAAGGCAGTCAGTTTCCTAGAGTAAGGGAACATGTCACTGACGAAAATCAACCTGAGGGTTAGAATAACCAAAGACTTTTGCCATGAATACTGACTAAAGTTTATAGATTTTCCTCTGACTCACTTATCACAAGATAGTGATATTTAAGCTGCTTCTGCACATGGTCCCAAAATGCCACCATTTATCTTTCTGTTATAATTTTATGTGGGGTCCTGCCCCACCGGGAACTTAGGTCCCCCAGAAGGGAGACCTGGAACTGAGGAGAGGTAAGTGCCCTGCTCACCTATAACTAGCCTCCCCTTTTCCCGGGAGACAATCAGATCCACCAGAGAGCCAAGTCAGGCAAGGACTCACTTATTTAAAAACAACAAGCTCTTTTTAAAGCATAAAGAAAACAAGATCCGGGAGGGGGGCAAATGCCCCATTGGGCCAATCAGCTTGAAGATTACCCTGCCACATGCCTAGTCTACAGTATTCACAGTGTTGTCTGTGAACACCATCTTTCCTGACCTGAAGCTCCAATCATATTTCTTTGTAAACTACTTGGGTTCCACCCTCTACACTTTCCTGGGGGCCAGCTTTACTAGCACCTGGCTCCATAGGCCCTTCCCCCACAATTTTAAAAAAGAATTATTTACTTATTTAATATATAAGTGTTTGTATGCACGTGTGTGGTGTGTGTGCCTTGCTCATGGAGTCTAGAAGAAGGGTCAGATCTACTGGAACTAGTTACAGGTGAGCCACTGTGTGGGTTCTGGGTACTGAACACAGGCATCTATCTGCTAGAGCAGTCAGTGCTCCTAGCTGCTGTCCTCTCGCCACTCCCATCTTCCTGTTTTATTCCCACTTGCTCCCAACTCTGGCAGTTAGTCTTTAATTCTGTCAGAGTCTACAGTCTACTGGTTGCTGCCTTTTCACTGTGTCTCCAGCTATGGCTGCTCTTTCCTTAACAGCTTAGATTTTGTGCTCTGTATATTTTTCATGTAATTTAAATGGTATACTCCATCCCCTGTTGTTCCTAGGTGATCCTGCCTTGGTTAAATCCCACCTACTCTATTTCTACGTAACTCCCTACAGTTGGCTCTAATGCCATGACCTCACTTTAGTTGATGACCACTTATCTAAAGAGACTCCATAACCCTTCTTGGAAGATTGATTGATTGATTGATTGATTGATTGATTGATTGATTGATTGATTTTTGAGACAGGGTTTCTCTGTGTAGCCCTGAATGTCCTGGAGCTCACTTCGTAGACCAGGCTGGCCTCAAACTCACAGAGATCCTTCTGCCTCTGCCTCTGCCTCCTGAGTGCTAGGATTAAAGGTATGCACCACCACTGACCTGTCTTGGCAGTTTTATATTTTAGTCTGTTTACCCATTTCTCCTCACAATGATTGTCTTCTCTTACATTGGTTGACTACTAGATAACTGTGAATCAATGAAACAAAATCAAAGAATATAGTACATTAAAAACTATTCAACAGGACTGGAGAGATGGCTCAGAGGTTAAGAGCACTGATTGCTCTTCCAGAAGTCCTGAGTTCAAGTCCCAGCAACCACATGGTAGCTCACAACCATCTGTAATGAGATCTGGTGCCCTCTTCTGGTGTGCAGGTGTATATGCAGGCAGAACACTATATACATAATAAATAAAAGTTTAAGGTCAATTTGGGTTACAGGAGACCCTGTCTTCAAAATAAAAAACAAAAATTGTTTAAAAAAAAACCCTATTCAACAAATGTTTATTTAGCATTTACTACATGCACTGTTTTATTATTTTTGGTTTATTTTAGATAGGGTCTAATGTAGCCCAGAGGGCCTCAGTGCCAAGGATAACATGTTTTTGTCTTCCAAGGGCTAGAATTATAGACACATGTCACCATTCCCAGATTACATGCATGTCTTAGTTACTAGTTCTACAACTTTAAAGTACCTGACAAAAGCACCTAGAGTATGGTTTTGCTTTGGCTCACAATTTGAGAGAACACAGTCTATCATGGCAGAAAATTTCCACCTTCAATAGCAGTCTTAAAAATAAGGTGGAAAATCAAGTGAAGAAGACGCCCAGTATCTACCTCAAATCTCCGCCTTTATCTTGTGTGATGTGTGTGCACATGTGCAAGAGTGTACACATACAGAACTCCATGGGCATCTGTGGAGGCAAATCCAGGCAGGCCAGTGCAGGCATGCTAGAAGGAAGCAGGGACCCCCGCGGGTGCTGCAAGTCAAGTATATAGGTGGCCTCAAACCCTACCTGATGGTACACTCCCTCCAGGGAGAATGAGTCATGCTTCCATCAGTGACAGGCCTTACAGTCCTAACATGTCTAATAGGCCACATTAGATTGGGTCGGGAGTGTTTCCTTCTTAGGAGGCTTGAACTAGAAAACTCAAGAATCTGCTGTCAACATGTACATTGCTGCCAACTCTATGCAAAACAGGTATCTCAATATAAGTCAGAGATGTATGATGGGAGCAGGACCTCTCTATGGACAAGAGATTAAGAGTATGGCCAGCATGATCAACCTTGAGAGGTCCCCATATCGTCCAGGTGGAGCCATGACCAACGATTCAGCAGGTTGACAGCTAACCCAGAGATGATGGGCCTGGTGACATCAAGTTAACTCTAGCCACTCACATAGACAGCCAGGCAGGGAAATCCCAAGAAAGAATCCACATCCATGCAAAATACTGTTCTACGACAGCCAATGAGAAGACAATGTAAACTGTGTGTGTCAGGAAAGTTAAATGTCTTCACAGAGAAGGCAGTGTGCACCACGGTTTGCCTGCTATGGATGGGAAACCTTTCAACTTCTGTTGCCTCTGACTGTGAAGGAGGATGGTAGATTGACTCAGGTCAACAAGAACAAAACATGGTGGGAACTTACAATGGGCACAATAGTCAGTGTTGTGAGCTCCTTAGAAAAGCAATATGCCCATAGTCTCTGCCTTTGAGTGCAAGATTAAAGGGCAGACCTTTCACCAGACGTTTTTGGAGCTGCTGAGTCCTATAAGTGCCAGCCTGAGACCCATCCTTGTTTTCCTTCAGGAACACGGCCTATATGGGGACCACAGATTCATTCGACCAGCTGTTCCATGGCAGAAAGAGAGCACAAGACCTCCAACTCCACATTCACACCATACAGTCAGATACCTTGCTTGCCCTCAGGATCTAGGATGCTATTTCTGATTCCAGAAGTTTCATTAAATGACTCCAAACCCTAGATAACTGTCCACTAAGAAAATCCCTGATGTGGTGTGGGTCATATCCCATGGGGCAAATAAGGATCCTTAGGTGGCATCAGAGAGGATTGAACAGTGGTATGATGAAACAACCTGCTTTGTAAAGATGGTTTTGGTGAGTGACTGTTCGGAATAGAACACTTTGAAGCCAGCTGCAGACACAGTCACAGTAGTGACGCCATGAGAGGTGGTGGCGTAGACTGCAGCTGGAGCCAGGTGTGCTTCTGCATGTAAAGTTGGAGTTTTGGAGATTGGGTGTGGAGTGAGAGAGGAACAGGAATGATAGTTACTATTTATGGATGTGGGAAACATCACAGTGATCAGCTGTATTTGTGTATAGGAGGGGTGGATAAGGAATCAATGAAACTCTAGGCCTAGTTTGTAAATTAGCAGTCAGTATCATATAGATGGTATTTAAAACCACAAGACTAGATGGAACATTAGGGGTCTGCGCAAAAAGGGTTGAGA